CGAACTGCCCGGAACTACGGTGAACACGAGAGGCGCGGCCCTGGCCCGTCGCTGCGAACCGGCGGCCCCCACAGCGCCACGGACGCTGCGCTCAGTGCTGCTCACAGCGCTGCCGTCCCCTGGGCTGGCCCAGACTCTCCAGGAGAAAGGTGCACGCGTCTGCCTTCCAGGAGAAGCATCAGTAGCTCATTTTGACTGGCTCTCTACAACTTACAGTCATCACCAGGGGCTCTAATGACCTGCTCCACACTGCACAGCCAGCCGAGACGCCTGCACACGCGGTATTGTTCCAAACCCTTTGTGTCTCTGTGAAACCATCGGCTACTGTTAACTGCGTATGAAATAGTATCTGGCAGGATTCCTGCACACCTTAGCAAGCACAGGAGACCTGGTGTACCAGGAGGTTTTTAACAGGATCCGGTGGCGCGCTGGCACGCCAAGACGCACCCTACCTGACTGGTTGTTCCTCATGCGGATGGCTTTCGCTTTGGCCAGCTCCAGGGCCGTGACCCAGCGCTGCCTCTCCACCTCCGAGGTCGCCTTTAGGTGGTAGGTCCTTCCCCCGTTGGAGAGCACGATGTTACACGAGTCCTCCGTGTCGATGTGAGCCGTGGACAGGTTGATGGTCCCGCGACACGTGTGGGCCATCTCTGCCTGCGTCCTGCATGGAGCAGAGGGAGAAGGAAGCGTCAGTCCCTTGCAGCCCTGCCTGTCCCCATGCCACCCCCGGCACCCCCCGTGCAGCAGGGACCCATGCGAACAGCCCCAGCAGGCAGCAAGCCCGTCGGAGCTACCAACGCGCGACGAACTCCTCAAACAGCAACACCGGGATGGGGCTGCAGCATCTGGAAGGAGCGTGTTCCCTCGTGCAAGCATACCCCCAGCACCCGGCTGCTGGCTTCGCACCCGGCTGCGCTTCCGGCTGCCCGGGGAGTTCAGCGACCGGCTGCACGCCACCGGCCTCTCTCCTCTCACCTGCGTTGCGGCTCTCCTCCCTCCTCCCCGCTCTCCCACCTCCAGCACCCAGTAGGGTGAGCCTCGTCATGTCCTCCACCTTCAGTCACAGCCTTTTGTCTAGGGGTGCCAAGCTCCCGCACGCAAAGGCAAAGCACAGCCGCACAACTCCGCTCCAGCTGCTGAAACACCTTCACTACCGCCAAAAACTATCGCAGCAGCTCCAGGCTGTGCCACAGCTCCCTCACCACGCAGCTCCCCGGGGCTCACCCTCACACGGCCCCTTTCCAAAACTCGTTCAGGGCATTTTTTGAAGCTAGGTTTCCATTTTAAGCAGAGCAGTACAAAATCAGGTGCTGGCTACATCTCTTCTCTTGTCTAAGGCCTGATTTCCAGCATCCACAATCAGATCTGAGCGTGGTTTTACTTCAGGACGGGGGGGTGGCCAGCTTCTTAATACATTCACAGGTTTCGTCTTCTGCAACTTGGCATCGTGCTTGTTTGTGGAAGAAAACCACATCCCATCAGGGAGCTATGAACGCTGCAGTCCTCTGTGTGTTAAGCCCCCAGCCGCTCCCCGAGCCAAGGGAGCCGTGGCACCGACGCGCTGGGGAGGAGCGGCACGGCAGGCACAGGGCCCCGGCGCGCTGGGGAGGAGCGGCACGGCAGGCACAGGGCTCTGGCAGCTCCGCACAGCGCGGCTGTCCCAGGCGTACACCAACCAACACCGCAGCGCAGCACGCAGGGGAGAGACGGAGAAACACACAGGGAGAGAGAGCGCAGCTGAACACACGTGTCCTTCATCCACCGAACTGTCCTGAACTACGGTGAACACGAGAGGCGCGGCCCTGGCCCGTCGCTGCGAACCGGCGGGACCCCCAACGCCCCGGACGGGGGCCTCCGGGCGC